AAAACCTGACTAAGGATTTGTATGGTGTGAAATGGGAGGAGGAAGTCAATGTGGAGTGGGAGGTGGGGGTGGGGTGTGTAACACCATGAATTACCGCACCGGGTGACACCAACCCTTGGGACGCCACTGCCCTATGCCTTATGAGGAGAGACTTAGGGATCTAGGTATGTTTAGCCTGTTATGATTAAGGATTTGAAGGCATGTCACATTGAGGCTGGAGCAAGCTTGTTTTCTGCTGCTCCAGAGAACAGGACCAGGAACAATGGATGCAAACTAGATTCCACCTCACCATTAGGCAAAACTTCCCAACAGTAAGAGCTGTTTGACAGTGGAACACGCTCTCTCAGAGAGTAATGGGGTCTCCTTTGGAGGTCTTTAAACAGAGGCAGGATGGCCATCTGTGAGAGGTGCTTTGATTGAGAGTTCCTGCAGGCAGAGGGTTGGACTGGATGGCCCTTGGGGGTCTCTTGCAACTCTGATTCTATGATCTATGATCTGTTTTTTGGTAGGAACTGGCTGTGGTGTTCACCTTCATCCTTTTAAAACACTGAAGAGCTGGTGTGAGTAGTGTGAGGCTCAGTGAGAGAACAAAAGGAGAGGTTCTAGCTTTTTAAAAAAATTGTTTGAGTGTTTAATTTTTTTAAAAATAAAATGTTTAATTTAAAAATATTTTTGATTTTTGTTAAAAAATAAAATTAAATAATTTAGTTTTAAATTTAGTTTTTTTATTTTCTTTCAAAACACTTACCACTTTAAACACATAAACGCATTTGTTGTTGTTCTGCGCCTTCAGTTGTTTCAGATTTATGGCAACCGTAAGGCATGGATTCATAGATTTTTTAGAAAAAAATAGTTTCATTTTAAAAAATTATTTTAAAAATTTCTTTAACAACATCATATCTTACCACTTTAAACACAAGAAGCTATGTACATGTAAATAATTTTAGGTTCTCTATTAGTTGTTGTTATGTGCCTTCCAGTTGTTTCTGACTTATGGAGACCCAAAGGCTTTTTCATGTTTTTTTAAAAAATTATTCTTTTAAATTTTTCCTTAAAAACATCACATCTTACCAAATTTCCATGTTAAACACATGAAACTAGGAACATGTAAATACATTTAGGCTGTGCATTTGTTGTTATTGTGTGCTTTGGAGTTTTTTCTGACTTATGGAGACCCTCACCTGGAATACTGTGTCCAGTTCTGGGCACCACAATTCAAAA